ATATATAAATAATAATAACGATTATTGTTTCTTTTATTTGAGCAAGAGAGAGAGGGAAAGTGAGAGAGCAAGCCACCAGGTCTGGGACTCGAACCACTGGCCCTGTGGGCGTCCAGTGTCCCCACCACCATGCCACCTGCCAGCCCTAAAAGGAACTTTATAAGAACTTATTATCTTTCTTCAATGGTAAAAGAAACCTGAGTACCACCAACATATGCCATATCCTTAGAGTCCATCCTTTCACACTTGGACTTCTATTTTGCAGCTCAGATTCCAGATGAAAATGTTTGAGAGTGTTGACTCTACAGCCACAAGATCTGGCCGAGATCTCTGGGCTGAAATCTGTTCCTGCCTGCCAAACACTGGCCAAGAAGATGGTGCCAACAATGCCTTCTCAGACTCCTTCGTGGATTCTTACTCTGCCGATGAAGGCCAGAGAGAAGCAGCAGACTTTTCTGTCCAGCCAGCTCTAAAGCCTTGGGCTCCCTTGCAGGATTCAGAAGTGTATATAGCATCTCTAGGTGAGTTAGAGGCTCTTTTTATGTATTTATTTATTTTTAATTAGATGCTGGTGATTTTAGAAAGCATGTTGAAGTTCTTTTACATCAAACCTGGTTTTCTACCCTTTCTTTCATTTCTTTCTTTCTTTCTTTCTTTCTTTCTTTCTTTCTTTCTTTTTTTCTTTTCCTATTCACATGTATCTATCTGTCAGATGTCATTCTATGGGTATTTCAGGTTGGTTGTTGAAAAGGAACCCCCCCTTTCTTGCACATGACTATTTCCTCTAAATTCTGTTTTATTTTCTGGCATTCTATAGAACCGTCTTGCCTACTGTTGGTAGTCCATATAACCAGATAACTTAAGCTTTATGCCATCCCCAAAACAAAGGTCATGGCCAGAGCTACATGTGGATTCCAAATGCTGGAGTTTAAAAACATGTTCTATTAAATGCATTGACCGTTGGGAATAGGAGCATATTGACATAAGATTCATTCTGCCTGATGTTAGCCCTTTTACACACACACACACACACATGTATTTATATACACATATGTATGAAGGCTAACATTAATAAATATTTTTTAATGAAATTTTAAAAAGAATTATTTATTTATTTATTTATTTTGCCGTAGGGCAGGCGCCACCATTCCCTATTTATTTATTTTTTTGGAGAGGTTTTTGCTACAGGGTATATGCACTCGCCAGAAAGACAGAGAGAGAGAGACAGAAAGTGAGAAATCACCCTCCGGGGGGATGGCCATGCCACAGTCCCTTCTCCTCCATTCTCCTCTCAGGATCTTGGGCACGCACACACACGCACCCAGCGTGAGTTTAAGCCACTGGGTGTGGGACTCGAACTGCAGTCGACTACATGGGAGTTCAGCGACATAGCCATTAGTTAACTGCTGGTCCCAAGAATTATTTATTTATTTAATTCTATATGTTGTTATTTTGTAATTTTACCAGAAAGAGACAGAGAGAGAAAGGAAAAGGGAGAAAGCAAGCCACTAGGTCCGGGACTCAAACCGTGGTCAGCCATGTAGAAATCCAGCACTTCTAACCATCATTCCCTGAGCATTTTAAGAGCCCTATTCTGTGACTATAGTGTCCAAAAACTCCAAAAACAAGAAAGAGATTCCGATTGTCCCATGCTAGGGGAGAAGAAATGTCAGTCTAGGGCAGTGATTGCTAGTCTTGGAATTGTGATATCCTTTTAATGTTGAACGTCCATGAGCCGTATCCACGTGTCACAAAACCAAACCTGAGACTAATTATTTGAGGAAGAAAAGGCAGCTTAGGAAGGAGGAGCTTTTAAGGAAGGACAGAAAGAGTGAGGGTCAGTAGGTGGCGTGGTGTTTCAGGGGCTGGACTCCCACTTGGGCCTGGTGGCTTGCTTTCTCACTTTCTCTCTCATGAATGCACATGCCCTATAGCAAATTAAAAACAGTAATAATAATAAATAAATAAAATTGGGACCAACAGATGGCATTTGTGGCCAGACTCCCATGTAGTTGACTGTGGTTCGAGTCCCAGACCCAGCAGCAGTTTGAACTCAAACCAGGCACATGTGTGTGTGTGTGTGTGTGTGTGTGTGTGTACCCAAAACCCCTAGACTTGAAGAAGGGATTGCAGCGTAGCCATCTTCTGGGAGTTGGGGGGTAATTTCTCATTGTCTTGTCTCCTTGTCTCTCCGGCAAGCACACGTGCCCTATAGCAAAAATCTCTCTCTTTAAAAAATAAATAATAAGGGGCCAGCAGGTGGTGTGGTGGTTAAAAAGCTGGACACTCCCACATGGCCGGCCGTGGTTCGAGTCCTGGACCTGGTGACTTGCTTTCTCACATTCCGTGAGAGCTTACATGATTGCTAAGAACTATCTTGGAAAAGGAAATGGAATTTTGTTGATAATACACTGGAGGAAGAAGATAGAAAAACAGGCGGGATGACAGATAATGAGAAAGTTGAGGGAGGAATGAGAAATTTTTCAGGAAGCCACCGAAGTTAGGACAGTAATACTTGCAGCCATGATTGGGGGGATTGAGAATTCTGTTTGTGGTAGCCAGAGCATCTGTTTAATGATGGTAAGGAGAAGAAGCTACCGTCTGAGAAAGCTATAGCACAGATCCTCTGGCTTGTTGGTGCATGTGACCAGGGTTATAAGAAACTTTCACAGAGAGACCAGCAGATGGCATAATGGTTACATCACTGGACTCCTGCATAGTTGACTACAGTTCAAGTCCTGAACCCAGTGGCATTAACAATGCTGGGTGTGAGACCAGTAGTTAGCATAATGGCTTTGTCACTGGACTCCCATGCAGTCAACTGCAGTTCGAGTCCTGGACCCAACGCGGGACTGCATGTGTGTGCATACCTAGGATCCTGAGAGGAGAATGGAGAAGGGATTGCGGCTTGGCCATCCCCCCAGGGGGGTGATTTCTCACTTTCTGTCTCTCTGTCTCTTTATGTCTCTCTGGTGAGCGCACACATCCTATAGCAGAAATCTTGCTTAATAAAAAAGAAACTTTCGGGGGACCAGCAGTTAGCGTAATGGCTATGTCGCTGGACTGCCATGTAGTCAACCATAGTTTGAGTCCTGGACCTGGTGGCTTGGACTCATGCCGGGCGCATGTGCATGCGTGCCCAAGATCCCGAGAGGAAAAATGGAGGAGAAGGGATTGCGGCATGGCCATCCCTCCTGGGGGGTGATTTCTCACTTTCTGTCTCTCTGTCTCTCTCTGGTCAAAATAAAATAAATAAATAAATAAAGTTAAATAAAATAATTCTTAAAAAAAAAAAAGATAAAACCACTCTCATGGAAACATGATGAGTTTGATTGGTGAAGACTGGTTTGAAAAGTGAAAACATCATCAGGTAGGGCCAGCCTATAGCCTAATGGTTAAGATAGCTGGATCCCACATGACCAACTGTGTGGTTTAAGTCTTGGTCCTGGCAGCTTGAAAAACCATACCAGGCACATGTATGTGCATGCCCAAAATCCCAAAAGGAGAAATAGAGGAGAAGGGATTACAGTGTGGTCATCCCCCATAAGGGATGCTGTCTCCCTTTTCCTTTCTCTGTTTCTCTGGAGCACACATGCCCTCTGGCAAAATTTTTTTTTAACTCTCCATTAGTTCAAAAAGTATTTTTCTTTTCTTTTCTTTCTTTCTTTTTTTTTTTTTTTTCTCTTTTAGGTGTTGCTGTTGGACATACGTTCTTGCCAGAGAGAGACAGAGAGAGAGAGGGAAAGCCAGAAATCATCCCCTGAGAGGGACAGCCATGCCACAGTCCCCTCTCCATTCTCCTTTTGGGATTTTGGGCATATGCACATGTGTACCCAGCATGATTTTCAAGTTGCCAAGTCCAGGACTTGAACCGTGGTCAGCCATGTAGGAGTCCAGACCTAACCACCACACCACCTGCAGGTCCAAAAAAGTTATTTTTCTAAAATCAGTTAAAAGCATATTAAAATTTCCTTCTCTGAAGAAAATATGAGTCATTTCTGTTGCCTACAGCAGAATCTGGAAGACAGTGGCAGGGGGGGTTTGTAGTAGCACCTGTTTCTGCCTGGCTTGTTAGAATCCCATCTGATCAGGAACTCAGCACACTCAGAGGGGAAAACCGTACCAGGCACATGTATGTGCATGTCCAAAATCCCAAAAGGAGAAATAGAGGAGAAGGGATTACAGGGTGGAAGATACTCTTCTGAGTATCTTGATGACCACAGCCAGAAAATATGAAGATTGTTTTTCTTGTCAAGTAAACTTATATCAAAGAAGATCCACTGATAAGAACAATGAAAAACTTCGCCAGTTAAACGTGAGATATGCATTACTCTTCTAACATTCTCAAAGAGTAAACAAAACCCCTCAAGTATTTACCAACTTGAAGTTTTGACTTGGGTAAGCTCTTAGTGGTAGCTTACAGGAACAAATGGTATTTATTGTTTTGATCAGTGGCTGTTAGTTAAATGACTTGTTTATAAATAAAAATAGGATTGTTAATCATAAAGTTTCTATTGATTCTGGGCTTGATAGGCCATTATTACTCATGTATTATAGCTGAAGGCAAGACTACATTAAGGTGGAAGGTAAATTGTGGTATCCTTTCTTGTATTCAAAAGAAGAAATCTGGTCAGCAAATATAAAGTTAAAATACAAAGAAGAGTTATTAAATATCTATCTTCAGGAAACCATATGGGCCACTCTCAAAGGGATTATAACATATTTGCTTTTATTAGGCTCCAGCATCCAGACTACACATTGAACAACTTTAAAAAATACTGGGAGGTCCTTTTCTTTTAATCAAGAATTTATTCACACATAGAGATCTTAAAGATCTCTTATGGTTATTGAGTTCTTATCAAGTCAGTTTTAGTGTCTAATGAACCATTGGATCTCTCATCATTTTCTCTAATTCTTTTTCAGGAGGTTTTGAAACCATTTTATGTAGTTGTAACAAAAAGAAAAAACATTTACTCCTCAGAGGGATTCTTTTTAAGGAGTTAAAAAAAGATGATCGTATACACGTCAAGCCAGGGGAAACAAGAATTCCTTAGAGAGATACCTGCCAGACTTGTGTGATTTCAAAGAAAACTTTCCACTGATTTATTTATGAGAACCTATGGTTTTTTCCTTTTCTGGGGTTAAACATTGGTTTGATAAAGTGCAGGGTGGGGATATTGTATAGGAAAAAGAATTTCTAGCTCCCTTTATCTGTCCTTAAAAAATGAGCATGGGACCAGCAGATGGCGTAATGGTTAAGTCGCTGGACTTCCATGTCGTCAACTAAGGTTTGCGTCCTGGACCCAGTGGGTTAAAATTCATGCTGGGCGTGTGTGCGTGCATGCCCAGAATTCCTAGAGGAGAATGGAAGAGAAGGGATTGCAGCGTGGTCATCCCCTGGAGGGTGATTTCTCGCTTCCTGTCTGTCTGTCTGTCTCTGTCTCTCTGGCAAGTGCACACGCCCTATAGGAAAAACCTATCTTAAAAAAAAAAAAAAGAGCTCTTGGGGCTGGGAGGTGGCATGGTGGTTAAGGGTGCTGGACTCCCACATGGCCGATTGTGGTTCAAGTCCAGTCCTGATGGCTTGCTTTTTCACTTTCCCTCTCTCTCTCTCACTCTGTCTCTCTCTGGTCAAATTAAAATAAAGAAATAATAAATAAAGTTAAATAAAATAATTATCTTTTAAAAATATGAGCTCTTTTGCAAAGTGTGGACATACACTTTAGTGAAAGAATTTTTTCAGTTGACATTTTAAAAATTGTGTTTCGTTCTTACTTTCCTTGTTAAGCACCACTTCTTTCTTTTTTAGAGAAGAAGCTGAGAAGAATCAAAGGATTAAATCAGGAAGTAACGTCCAAGGATATGCTTCGAACCCTGGCCCAAGCCAAGAAGGAATGCTGGGATCGGTTCCTCCAGGAGAAGCTAGCATCCGAGTTCTTTGTGGATGGACTTGATTCCGATGAGAGGTAATTGATTCCTACTCCGGTTCCAGTTAACATTCTGTTTCACTGAGGCTACTTCTTTGTCTAAAGAATTCTTGGATAGTGACATATTGATATCAGCATCAGCTCTTCTGAACTGAAACCATCCTTTGTAAGGTTGCTCTATTTGCCCTTAGACCGTTTTTTGAGAATGGGTATTTCTGCCAAAAGGCAAATAGCCTAGCTACATCATAGTCACAGGTCGAATAGAGTTTAGAATAAGCCATTATTTTCATTTTTAGAAATTAATTAATTAATAATAATAATAATTATTATTATTTTGCCACATGAGTTATGACAGAGAGAGAGGGAAAGGAAGTGAGAAAGCAAGCCTCCAGGTTCGGGACTCGAACTATAGTCGACTGTGTGGGAATTCCAGTGCCTTACCCACTATGCCACCTGCTGGCCCCCCATGGTCTTCATTTTTAAGTATGTAACTCAATTGAGAAAGTTGTAACCAATCAACAGTTGGAACTAGGTGGTGGTGTGGTTAAGGGCACTGGACTCCCACATAGCTGACTGTGGTTTGAGTCCCAGACCTGGCAGCTTGCTTACTCACTTTCCCTCGCTCTCACTCTGTCCCTCTCTGGTCAAGTTAAAAATAAATAAATAAATAAAGTTAAAGTTCAATAGGAAATTATTCAAAATAAATATTGGTGGAGAGAGTATAAACTTGAAGATCCTAGAGAGATATGACTTCACCTAAGTTTGTAACGTCTCATTGCCTTTTTTTCCTTTGGAGATTTTTGCCTTAAGGGATGTGCATCCTCCATTCTCCTCCTGGGATCTTGGGCATGCATGCACACTTGCCAACATGAATTTCAAGTCACTGGGTCCAGGACTCTCACAGTGGCCGGCTGTGTGGGAGTCTAACGATGTAACTGCTACAGCATCTGCTGGCCTCTCATTACCATGTTTTGAGAGTCCCTGTGTCAGGCTGGCAGGTGGCGTGGTGGTTAAGACACTAGACTCCCATGTGGCTGACCATGGTTTTAAGTTCTGGACCTGGCAGGTTGCTTTCCCACTCTCGCTTTCACTCTTTATCTGTGTATCTCTGATCAAATTAAAAATTAATACTGACAGGGAACCAGCAGGTGGCATGGTGATTAAGGTGCTGGACACTCCCACATGGCTGACCGTGGTTCGAGTACCGAACCTGGTGGCTTGCTTTCTCACTTTCCCTCTCTCTTTCTGTGTATCTCTCTCTGGTCAAATTAAAATAAATGAATGAATAAATAAAATTAAATAAATAATTATTAAAAAAAGAAAATATAACCTTTAAAAAAATTAATACTGACAAATAAAAATAAATAAATAATTCATTTAAAAATATTTTATTTAACTTTGTTTATTATTATTATTTTGGAGAGATTTTTGCTACAGGGTACGTGCACTCGCCAGAAAGACAGAGAGATAGAATGCAAGAAATCACCCACTGGGAGGATGGCCACATCACAATCCCTTCTCCATTCTCCTCTCTGGATCTTAGGCACGCATGCACACGCTCCCAGCATGAGTTTAAGCCACCGGGTCCAGGACTTGAACCGGAGTCGACTACATGGGAGTCCAGCGACACAGCCATTACACCTACTGCTAGTTCCTATTCTTATTACTT